CTTGGTTAAAGACACAATCTCAGTTTAGATTTGGAGGCCTCTATCCAAACAACGTTGAGGGAATGGTAGAAAGTGAGGAAAGAAATGAAAAGAGGCGCCCCTCCCTGATGGTTGCTTTGCCTTGCAGATGACGGTCCTTCGCTACCCACCAAACAGAACGAGGAATTCCGCCCCTTCATTCGAAGGCTTCCAGAGTTTAAATTTTGGTGAGCTAATTCTTCACGGTATTTGAGAAGGAAAATTGGGCTCAAGGGTGGCTGAGACTGAGACTACACTGATTCTGGTTGAAGTTTTGTTCAAGTCACCCGAAAGATGACTGCTGTGCTGGGCTGGGCACAGGGGGAATCACAGGGGCTCTCACTGGAAGGCCACTCACTGCCTTGCCGCATTCTCTTGTTTTCAAGTCAGCACCAGTGCCCCGGAGGCTGGCGGAAAGGAGGCTGACTCTGGGATGGAGTGTGCACTGGCTCCTGTGGTTGTGGCCTGGGGAGGGCAGGCCCTGCGTCCAGTCTCCGTCCTCCCTCCTTCCTCTCTCCCATCCCCAGCCCTGTGGCTCCCTGTGGCTGGCAGAGGGGGACTAGCCTTCTCCTGGAGTCATTTTTGAGAGGGGTCTGAGCCGAGGTGCCCGTATCTACACGGGTAGGCAGAGGTGGGTGGCGTAGCCGTTCAGAGGGATGGGAGCTCTGTGGCTGCATCTGTTTGTCCTGTCCCTCATACCCCACCCTGGGGGCACAAGAGGAACCCAAGTCTGTTGGATCAGTAAAGTGAAGGAGCCTGCTGAGCTCGTGGGGCTCCACACCTTGACTTTGCAGCCCCAGATGGAGTCAGGGACAGAAAGATCAGGGGCCCTGGAAGCCACCAGAGGCTTGGACTAGGAAGGGAGAGCTGAGCCTCAAGGGCGATGGCATCTCTTGGCCATGTGCTGGGGCGGGAGGGAGCACTGGTGGCCATGCCACAGTGACAAGGTGAAGGCCCTGGATGGTCCACAAGACACAGCCTGGGTTTCTCTCCAGATCACAGGCCCAGCCAGCAGGCATGGGGCCCCCAGCCTCAGCACTAATGCTTTATACTTCGTGTAGTTTTAAGAAGAGTTGTACGTTTCAAGGGAGTAAGAGAAGGAAGTCTCTGTGGTGAGGGCAGTACAGTCCATTTCTGTGAGCTACTTGCAAAGGGTCATGCTGCTGCTGTGCCCAGGGTAGACCCCTCCTTTCCACAGGGATGCTTCTGTTTGCGGGGACGGTTGGTGCAGCTGCAAGGCTGGAGGTGGCCGGCAGGTGCCCAGTGCTGGCTGCAGATGCTGCGCTAACCTTCTCTCCCCACTTGAAGGCACGCGGCTACCAAGGGCATCCTTGTGGCTATGGTCTGTACTTTCTTCGACGCTTTCAACGTCCCAGTGTTCTGGCCGATCCTGGTGATGTACTTCATCATGCTCTTCTGTATCACAATGAAGAGGCAAATCAAGGTAAAGCAGAGACATTGCCGCCATGCCGGCCACAATCGCTGTTCTGTTACCTGCAGCATGGGGGAGCTGTGGTGGGCTGTGGCGGGTGGTGGCAGAGTCTGCCTGGTGTGAATGTGGAGCTCAGTGGCACTGTCTTGTGTGTGACGAGGACACTGCTCCGTTCCCAGCACAGCCAGTGAACTAAACGGAGAGCGCATCTGTCGGAGTGGGTGGGCTCTTGATGGAAGCTTTGTGGGAGCTGAACGGGAGAGCCCCAGCATGTGCAGTGTCCCAGTGGCTCCTCTTAGGGGGCCCAGCGCCCTGCGCCAGCTTGCCTGAGGAGGAGGGCATTAGGGGGAAATTAGCTGAGACTGCTGACTGACCCCTTGATGGCATGGCCTTGCTACTGCGGGCCTTACTCTGTGCCTGGGGTGTTGGCTGCAGAGGGCCCTGGGCCACCTCACATCCCCCTTGCCCACCTCACATCCCCCTTGCCCTTCCTCCATAGGAGGCTCAGGAAACACTGGGATTGATGGGGTTTCAAACCTAGGCCTCGTGGGCTATGGAAGGCCTTGCTGTGTTGACATGGGCGCAGGAAGCCACTGAGGCCCCGATTCCACTTGTCAGATGTATAGAAAAGATGGGGGCCTTTGGCCGCTCCCATGTGGGGACAGTGTGGCTGGCCAGAGAGCGCTTGTGCAGTGACTGAGTCTGTGCTTCTCTCCCCAGCACATGATTAAGTACCGGTACATCCCGTTCACACATGGGAAGAGGAGGTACAGAGGCAAGGAGGACGCCGGCAAGGCTTTTGCCAGCTAGAAGCGGGACTGAGGCTGCCTCACGTGTTGCAAGAACGGTTTTGAGCCATTGTTAACAATGCCTTTTTTCTTCACATAAAGTAGTTGATTACGAGGGAGTTGAATTTTCTTTTTAAAAAGGAGCTTCAATGATTTGTAACTGAAATATCAGGTTCTTGAAGAAACTGGCACTTAAACCAAATCGCATGGATTTCTTTTTCAGTGACGTTCAAGTGTTTCTCACGGATGGAATTCTAGTCAGCTGCAGGCGGGAAGCCAGGCGGGTGGAGCCCATGGGAGCAAGGGCGAGTGGCCGGTCCCCCCCCGGTGCCAGGTGGGCAGGCAGGAGCGAGGCCTGCAAGGGAGGAATGGGCCGCTCCCCGCCAGCCGCCTTCCCCACCAGCCACAGGTGTGCCAGCCACTCCACAGAGCCCGAGTGATGATCTAGCCTGATTCCTGCGTGTCTGAAAGAACTTAACGTTTTAAAGATGATTGTCAAGTAACTGTGTGGGGTTCTAATGCCAGTTTCCTAATCCATCTCACTGGAGATGTTTAAAGTTGGCCTCTATCCTAATGACTCAAAACTTTGTTCTTAACTACCATGATTGCTTTTGAGGGCCCAGAATTATAAATATATATTATATTTTAATTGTTTGAGATTATTTTGACACATTTCTTTGATATGTAAAGTGTTTTGTTTTTAATTTAAATCTGTCATCATGCAACCCCCCTGAGGGGCAGCGAAGCTGGTGGGGAGCAGACTGGCTTTGTGGGTTCGGCACTCGGCACCCCACTGCGGGGGGAGAGGCAGAACCCACGTGCATGTCAGCGTTTTTGATGTGATAAAATACTCAACATCTTACCAAGTGATTTTTAACTCCACCTTTATTAAGGTCTTGTCTAAAACACGACAGTCGCTGGACACAAGAAAGCCCAACTTTCGTTTGACCTTTCCAAAAGGTGAACCCATTTTGCCAACAGCAGAACATCATAGCTGTGGTCCCAGACGAGACACAGATGCGAGGGAAGGCCTCTCCTGGGTCCCGGGCTGCTCAGGCTCCTCACTCTGGGCGGTGTGTCCTGTCTTAGAATTTACACGGTGAAAGATGATTGTCTGGATTTTCTTGTGCCAGTATTTGCATATTCGACATTGAGCTCCTCTCTGAAGAGGCCATGTTCAAGCTTGTGGGTCCCTGGCCCAGGATAGCAAGGGCTGCTCCCAGGGGGTGCTTCTGGTACTGTGTTGAGACACTTGGATTCTCAGACTCCAGACAGCAGTGTCTGTCACTTTCCATACTGTTTTCCTAATAAGCTCTCAGGCCTAAGATGTGACAGGAGGTCGCGTGCACTTGGCCCGAGCACAGTGTGAATCGAAGGACTGGGTGCTGACGGATGGAGCCACGGTGGTATCTGCCCACCCAGCTGCAGCCCCAGTGCCTCTCTTGGTGCTCCTCCCAGTTTAGAGGGTCACAGCCTCCCCACCCCAGCCCCTGGTAAGCTGACCTTGACACACCCGGGAATACAGGGTCATCCTCATTCCTAAGTCAAACAGCAGGACATGGTCTGCGGGGGGGTCTTTGCTGGAAGCTGGTGCTGCTGGCCAGGCCTCGGCCTTGTCTACAGGTCAGTAGGGAAGTGTGGCATACGCCCTCGAGGCATGTTAACACTGCGCTTTAGGAAATCTCAAGTTCCATCTTGTTATTAATGTGCCCACATTTTGGTGGAGTTAGTTTATTAAAGATGCCTATGGTGAAGTCTCTGGCACAGGTTAAATGCAATTTTGAAAACCTGGAAATGTCAAATGGAGGCAGGAAGTAGGCTAGGGCCGAGCTGAAGGGCTGAGCACAGCAGTGACGCTGGGTCAGCAGGTCGCCTGCCCAGCGGGCCCCCAGGAGAGGGCTTAGGCACCCCGGCAGCCCCCCAATCCCTAGGACCTGGCACGTGAGTGCGTTTGGGTCAGGAGGAGAGCTCTGTGTGCATGTCAGGCCCGAGATGCAGATTTCTATTTTCTGAAACTGGAAGCAGCCTTGATGTGTTTTGAAGGTGTGTGCCAAATGCTTCAGACGGAGGTGCTGACCTTGGTTGGTTTCTCTCTGCCCAGCTACTCTGGGGGCGAGCCTGACCCCCTCCGATGGGGGCCGTGGGGCTGCTGTTCTGACCACACTGGCTGAAGCAAACCGCCAGCCCCCCGTGCCCCCTCCCAACTCAACATGCACTCATTCAGTCCATTGCCTTAATACAAGCCTGATGGAACCATTTTCTCACGATATAAATGAATAAAGTGTCTTCTGACCTACTTCTCAATTACTTCTCAACTGTATGGTTTGGGGAAGGGAGGGAAACCTAAAATCCTGTCCAAATAAGTGAAATTCCTGAAGAAGTGGCTGAGTCATACCAGGTTGGGGTTAGCGCCCCTCCCAGGGCTGAGAAAGCACAGTCAGCGACAGCTTTCTGTTCTCTCCTGGGGTGGCTGGGTTAGTATCTTACATGATAGAAAACCTGTGAGAATGTTCTAATTTCTGTGCAAGTAGGGTTCATCTTGAGACTAAATCTTGCGTTCAGACTTCCGTAGAAGTCATCTGTGTCCAGGGCCACCTGGGCGCCGGCTCAGCGGTAGTGCCGAAGGTAGATGAGCTTCTGGGGAGGGAACTTCTCCCGGCAGAGGGGACACTCCGCCTGCAGAGAGGAGGAAGGGGTCACAGCAGCTGGGACCACTGGGCCATGCCCATCCCCATCGGCATCTCTTGTCCTGTCCACATTCTCTGCCCATGACATGGAACATAAATGTTGTATTTCCTTCAACTAATGACCAAGAAAGCCAGCCTTTTTTCAGAAGGCCGAGTCCCAGTGGGGGCCGGGGCAGGGCTGGGGGGTGGGGCTCGGCTGGGAGGTTCCTTCCTGCTCTCGCAGCTGACACAGCCCAGGAAGCCCAGCTCCGGGAAGATGTGCCACTCTCACCCTGCCGGCATCTTCCGTGGGTGTGATTCAGTGTGCCAGGGTTTCCAAGTGTGGTGAGGAGCCCAGGAGGAAGGGCACGCTGGGGTTGCACATGTGCCATGGGGAGAAGGTGTGGGCCCTTTCAGGTTTGGCAGCTGCCCCAACCTCGTCGTTCAGCAAATGTCTCATACGCGTGAATTTTGAACTTTAACCCCACAACGACCCCCATCTGTATCCTACCTGGGAGCCTTTAATAAAAGACCCCCATCTCTACCCTCTAAGCCTGAGGGGTCTCAGAGCCAGATTCCCCACTTCTGCTGCAGCCAGGTGGCTCTTTTTTTTTTTTTTCTTTTCTTTTGAGATGGATCTCGCTCTGTCGCCCAGGCTGGAGCTGCAGTGGCGCATCTCGGGTCACTGCAAGCTCCGTCCCGGGTTCCGCCATTCTCCTGCCTCACCTCCCGAGTAGCTGGGACATACAGGCGCGCACCACCCTTCACCTGGCTAGTTTTTTTTTTGTATTTTTTTAGTAGAGACGGGGTTTCACGTGTTAGCCAGGGATGGTCTCGATCTCCTGACCTCGTGATCCGCCCGCCTCGCTCCCAAAGTGCTGGGATTACACTTGAGCCACCGCGCCCAGCCTTGCCAGGTGTGTCTGTGCCAGCGCAGCCGCTGAGCCATCTCAGGACCCCTGCAGGCTCCCCTCACATTGCTGCCTGACAAACGCACGTGATGCACTCCCAGCAGAACAGGTGGCCGCAGGGCGTGGCTGTCGGGTGCCTGCGCTCCTCCAGGCACAGGGTGCACAGGGGGTTTCTGGAAACCGCTCTCTCCTCCAGGGAGCCCCTGGGGAAGGGGGGGCAGAGCGTCAAGGTGGGTGCAGCTCACAGGTCCTTGTGAAGTGCAAAGGACACCCCCAGCCCCCATGTGTGGCCCCCGCGTGCACCTGCGGTGAGACAGGCCGCGGTGCAGCCTCCACTCCTTCCTGGCTCGCTGCCGCTGCCTGAAGCCATACAGCTGCAGCCCCACGGACAGCACCAGGTGCAGCAGCGAGACGACCCCCAGCAGCCTGTAGCTAACACGGGCCCTCAGGTCCTCTCCGGGCAGGCTGCGGACACGGAGCTGTAAGGCAGACAGCGTCACACCCATCAGGACCCTGAGGGGATCTGGCCTCAGCGCCTGCTGGGACGGTCAGTCTGCACGGAGCGTGTTAGAACCAGGCCTCTCCCTGGCACTGGGAGCGCCCGGCAGAAACCAAGCCAGGGGCAGGTTCAGGGAGTCTGAACTGCTTCACAGCCTAGCATGACAGAGAGGCCTGAGCTCCAGACCGGCCTTGGCATTGTCAGCGCAGAGGGAGTCTTAGCGCTGGCGGAGAGGGTGAGGACATGGGGATGTCCAGGGACCACCTCTCAGAAAGGGATGGGGGTGGAGCAGACATGTCGGGCTGTAGATGCTGCCCACCAGCCACCCTGCTGCAAGGCACATGGCCCTAGGGACCCTGCTCCCCCCCTCATGCTGCTGGTGACGTGTGTAGCTTCTGGCCGTGCCACTGAAGGACAGCTGGCTGCCCTCGGCTTCCCGTGTCCCATTCCACTGGCTGGGAAATGGAGACAGCCAGATGGCCTCGGCCCAGGGCTGGGAACCACATACAGAGATGGCAGGTCACACCGCCAGTGTGGGCCCTGGGTGTCCAGTCACTTCTTGGCTGTCCTAGGAGAGAGGGAGCCTCCCAGCTGGTTTGAGCCCCATTTCCAAGCCCCTGTCACAGCAGCTCAGCAAATCCCTCACTCACATGGACGGGGCGAGGAACCGCGTCAAATACGCGGGAGGCTGGGAATGCTAAGAATGAAGACCTGACCACTGGCTCTGTGGCGAGGAGATCCCTGTGGCCTCCTGTTTAGGGTGTATGGAGGTGGGGTCGCCTGGCAAGTGGGGGCTGAGGGGCCCAGTGCAGCTCTAGGGACGGAAGAAAGGGGGTTCCTCAGAGGGCTGTTCTAGAAGGAGCTCGTGCAGCAGTGGCTCTGGTGGGCCCGGGTCTAACGCCGTGGCAGATGCACATGGTGTCAGGACCACTGGGGAGGCTTCGTTGCTGAATCTGGAAGCAGGAGCGTCAGCTGGGGGTTAGGATGGGCAGAGGTGCCGACAGCTGCGGAGGGGAGAAGGTGGGAATGGCCATCTGATGGGGCAGACTGCTGGGCCAGGCACGGGCGAGGGGTGAGGGGCTGGGGCTGGGGCTGCAGTACATGCTCCCACACACTCTGGGAGAAGCTGCTTGTTCCTCACAGCAGTGACATGGGCAGTCATGGGCCAAGGTTCAGGGATCTGTGGTGAGGCGTGACCCAGGGCCCCCGGTCAGTAAAAAGCTGAGTGCAGGGCCTGGTGTCCACGTGGGGCTGCAGCAGGAGCCCATTCTGCCCTCAGGGTCTGGACTTCCTTGGATCTTTCAGCCAAGTGTAACTAAACAAAACCTGCCTTTTTTCAAGCAGAGGATTTGGGTTCCTGCCTTGACACAGGTTCTGGGTGTGGAACCCTGTTGGCTGAGAGGCCTGGAGGGCCAGCTCTGTGCACACACCCAAGTCCAGTGGGGGTGACAAGGGTGGCCGAAGCGGCTGTGCCCTCAGCACCTGCTACTTACGTACGTGATCCCCGTGAGCCTCTTGGCCAGGTGGTAGAAGACACCGTGGATGTAAAACCAGGCAACATGTAGCCGCTGGAGGCAGGCGAGGCCCTGTCTGAGGACGAAGGCCGCCCGCAGTAGCGCCCTCCTCTGTTGCTCAGTCAGGGTGGCCGTGTGGCGCCGCACCCAGCGTCGCACCCCTGAGCAGCCACGCCCACCTGGCACCAGGCTCCCCTGCGAAGGCCGCCCACTGTCAGGATCAGCCTGCAACTCCTGCTCTAGGGGGAGCAGGACCTTGTCCAGCAGGTAGGGCAGGACGGCATGCAGTGTCACCAGCACGCCACGGCGCAGCCAGGAGGGCACACGTGTCTGTGACGGGTCCACCTGGACGATGCTGACGTACTCCTCCCCCAGGGTCTGGTAGCCTGCGAGGAAGAGGATGGGTATGTGGACCCTGAGACTGCTGCCTCGGGGACAGGCTCCCGGCCCCCCTGCCAGCCGACCCTCTGCTGGTTCCTGTCAACAGCGCCATCTTGTCGCCCTTGAGCCCACTGCCACCCTGTGCTGGCTGAGGCCAACATGACCTTCTGTTGCTAAGCCCACTGTGACCTCAGGCAGCACATGACAGGCCCGGCCAATGGCTGCCCTCAGCTCCTGGAGCCTTGGCTGGCCGGTGTCCGGTGTCCTTCCCTCTCCTGGCTTCTCCCCAGGAGTCTCTGCTCCTTCCCCTTTCTCCCTAGCTGTCCCCACCACCTCCCACGGCCCAAGCACTCAGATCCAGTCCCATGGCTCTCCACCAACCGCACAGCTGGCACCACCCGATTTATGCCCAGCCTGGACCTGACTCTTGAGTGCCAGCCATCCAGTTCCGTCACCTACCTGGTATCGCCATGTATCCTCAGATGAGCACCCCCAATTCCATCCCTGCCAAGACAGCTTCCAGTTCCCCCACCCGGAAAGGTCTGCTCCCCCTTCCCATCTCTGTGGATGGCGACACCAGGCCTCCAGTTCCTGAGGTCAAGCCCAAGGGGCGCCCTGCATGCACCTTCCCTGCGTGTTTCACCCCGTCACTGCCGCCCCTGCTCTGTACCACCACCATCCCATGGGGGACTGTCAGCCTCTGTAGTCTCCCTGAGCCCAACTTTGTCCCCTGAGGTCTGGTCTTAGCCAGTGGTTGGCCGCTCCCCTGCCCAAGTCCCTGCAATGCCCCACGCCTTGCACAGGGAAAGCTGTGGGCTTAGAAAACCCACGAGCCCCCCGGGATCATCCCCACAAACGGCCAAGGACGTGTTCTTCTCAGGGCCTTTCCCAGCTGCTTGCTCTGCTGGTCTGGAAAATGCTCTTCCCCAAGACGTGGTCTTTATCTCTAAGAGCCCCTCAATTCCCAAGATGCCCTGTGACGCAGCCACATCTGTCTCCTACCCACCGAGCATGCTCTCCATGGCGGCAGGATGCCCAGGGGGAGTCCCTCATAGGGAACCAGGCTGGCGCTCAGTGGTCCTTGCTGCATGCTGAGCAGGGGTTGGGACCCTGAGAGCCTCCGTCAACAACTCCCTCTCCAGGGTGGCGACCAGCCTGGGCCACAGGCCCGCCACTGCGCCGCCAGGGCACTGTCACATGAGCACTGCACACTGTGACACAGCTCAGCACTGTTGCTCCACCAGGGCACTCCGAGAGGGGCACTGCACCCTATGACATGGCTCAGCACTGTGACTCACTTGTGCTACCAGGGCTGGCCACTGAGAAATGGGTCTCAATGGCACCCGGGTGGGTCCCCAGGGACACACAAAGGCTGGAAAAATGGGCTCCCTGCTGGGAGCTGATGCCTCGTCTCCCTCGGAGCAGCACCTCCTGCACTTCCCTGAGGCAGCCTCACCCGGGCCAGCTCCAGGAGCTTCTCACACTGCTGGGCAGCCCCCTGGCCACTGTCCCCCGGACTTGGTGTGTGTGGCTGCCCTCAGTCCTGAGGACCAGTGGGGGCTTCTACCTGCAAGTGTGGTGAGGCCAAAGTAGGCCACATCTGAGAGCAGCTCAACCTCCTTCCTCCACTCCAGCCACTTCCTCGCACCTGAGAGGAGAAACAGCATTAGTCTGGGGCAGCTGGTGGGCATGCCCTGAGCATGAGGGACCACAGTCCTCCCCGGAGTTGTCTAGGCCCAGATCCAGTCCCATCCCCCAACTCCCTCTCTGCTTCTGTCTCCAGAGGCACCACCTTGTCTCCACCTTGACCTGCCTTAGCGTGAGCTGCAGACAGTCTGCTAAGAACCTCCCACTTGCGCCCATCTCTCGCTCTGGGATTCCCCTGAGCAACCATTCTAGGGCCTATGAGGGCAACATGGAAAGATGGTCTGGGGTAGTAAGAATACAGGCCAGAGGCCAACTGTCTAACATCAAACAGCAGCTCTCCAACTTCCTGGCTGTGAGATCTTTCTGGAATCTCAATTTGCTCATCTATCAGAAGAGTAATAGTAAGTCCTACCTGTAGGGATGTTTGAAGATTCAATGAGTTAATATTTGTAAAACACCGGGAACAGTGTCTGGCACAGGGCTAAGTGCCCAGTGTATTGTAAAATAAATATGGACACACACACAAAATTCTTGTCACTCTCCTGTTCAGAATCTGCCAATGGCTGCCCACTTGATACCCATGGCCCTCCTGGCAGGGAGCCTGGCTGTCCTCTGATATTTACCCACGCTCTTCCTGTCCCACAGCACTGTTCCTGCCGCCATGACACCCCTGCCACTGGGCTCTAGTGCCACTGCTCCATGAAACGTTCTGCTGGGAGTTGATGCCTTTAACAACTGCCTGCCCCACCCCCAAAGACTTGATGGCGCTGCTTTTTTTTTTTTTTTGTTCTGTCCCCCAGGGTGGAGTGCAGTGGCATGATCTCGGCTCACTGCAACCTCCGCCTCCCGTGTTCAAGTGATTCTGTCTCAGCCTCCCGAGTAGCTGGAATCACAGGCACATGCCACCATGCCCACTAATTTTTGTATTTTTAGTAGAGACGGGATTTCACCATGTTGCCCAGACTGGTCTCGAACTCCTGACCTCAAGTGATCCGTCTGCCTGGGTCTCCCAAAGTGCTGGGATTACAGGCCTAAGCCACCGCACCCGGCCTCTTTTTTTTTTTCTTCGTGTTTTAATCGGTGATGGGGTCTGGCCCCATCGCCCAGGTTGGAGTGCAGTGGCACAATCATGGCTCACTGCAGCCTCATCCCTTGGGCTCAGGCGATTCTCTTGCCTCAGCCTCCTGAGGAGCTGGAATTACAGACGCCACTATCACGCCCGGCTAATTTTCAGATTTTTTGTAGAGACGGAGTGTTGCCTTGTTGCCCAGGCTGGTCTCAAACTCCTGGGCTCAAGCGATCCTCCCGCCTCCGCCTCCCAAACTGCTGGGATGACAGGCGCTGCTTCATTGAGTACACTGGCTTCTGTACTCAGCTCACAGCCTGGTGAGGCAGGTAGGGCCTGGCTGAGCCTACCCTGGGGTCAGAAGGGCGAGGGTCCTGGGCGGCTGGTCAAGCCTAGGAAAGGCCGGGGTCAGTGTGAACGGGACCGAGGTATGAGGCGTTCGCGCCCCGGGCGCGCCGACCCCTCTGCTCACAGGGGAGGAGCGGAGGGAGGCCTGAAGCGCTTGCCAAAGCCGCACACCTGGAGGGGACAGAGCCTTCCCCAGCCGCTGGCCACAACTGGACCTGCCCCGACCTGGGGACGGGAAGGGCCTGGGAGGGAAATGGAGGCCCACGCAGGTCCCCCGCAGTGTCTGCGGCCTGTGCCTCTGGGGCCACCTGGCCAGGGAGGGCAGGAGGTGCCCCGCACATCCCTGAATGGCCGCAGGGCAGGCGAAGGAGACTGCCGGGTCCCAGCTTGTGGGACGGGCCCAGGCGACGGTGACCACACACGGTAGACACCCCGCCTCCATGAGGGGCAACGCCCCCTAGGCCGCTTGCGAGGACATCCGGCCGCGCCCGGCCCTCACCCGCCAGGCTGTGCAGGGCGCCGCCCGCCGCGCTCCGCAGCCCACCGCGGTAGTACTCGTCCTTCTGCGCCGCGCGGATCACCTCCGGGGGGCTGGCGGCGGCCGGGGCCATGGCCGCGAGTTCAGGTGGTCCCGAGAAGCCACGCTAGCCACGCCCACAGCCACGCGGGCGAGACCTGATGACAGCACGACGTGGCTCGGCGTACGGCGCAGACCTTCTGCGTCACGATGCGGGGGCGGGGCCGGACCGGGGCTGGAGGTGGAGCCAGGGCCAGGGCCTGGGCGGAAGCGGGGCTGGAGTCCGAACCAGCGCGGCGCCGGGCGGGGCAGCACGGGGAGTCGGAGGCGCAGAGCGGGGCGGGGCGGAGCGGAGCGGGGCGGGGCCCAGGAGCCGGCGTGGGGGCGGAGCGCGCGGGCGACAGGGGCTGGCGAGGCCGCGGGGTGCGGCGCCCCCAGGGTCCTGCGTTGCCTCGGGTCCCCGCCGTGCTCCCTGCACGTCCACGGGCCGCCCTCCCACTGGGGACAGCGCTGCGGGGTGGAGACGCTGCGGGCCCATTTGCGGCTGGGGAGACGGAGGCCTGCGCTTGGCTCTCCGGGAAGCCGAGCTCCCAGCGCCCCCGCGGCTGTCCAGCCCTCTCGCCCTCTGAGCTGCGCGGGCTCTCAGCACCGGTTGGCTAGTTCCGGGGCGCCGGTGGGTTTGGGGGCCAGAGGGGCACGAGGCGAGACCCGGGACCTTCCAGGTACCGAGCAGCCGGCTTCCCCAGTAATCCCGGGCGAAAAGCACATGGCCGGCTTGGTGTGGACTCCCCACTGGTGCCCACGGGAGGCAGGGCCTGGCGGGTGGGGGGCAACCGGGAGGCCGCCGCGTGATTCCAGGACGGGCGGAAGGTGGCCCTCCACCCTCCACCCTGCCTGGCCTGAGCCCCACTGGTGCCCTGGGGAACCACATCGCAGGCGCCCCGACCCCTCTTCTCACAGGGGAGGAGCGGAGGGAGGCCTGAAGCACTGGCCAAAGCTGCACACCTGGAGGGGACAGAGCCTTCCCCAACCGCTGGCCACAGCTGGACCTGCCCTGAACTGGGGATGGGAAGGGCTGGGGCGGGAACTGGAGGCCCACGCAGGTCCCCCGCGGTGTCTGCGGCCTGTGCTTCTGGGGCCACCTGGCCAGGCAGAACAGGAGGTGCCCCGCATGTCTCTGAATGGCCGCAGGGCAGGCGAAGGAGAAGGCGCTGTCTTTTTGGCCCTTAAGGCAGCACTTGGCCCTGGAGAGTCCTGCAGGATTGCAGGAGGAAGGCAGGGCACCGACAAGGGGGCGTCTGCGCCCCGCTGACCTCAGTGGGGAGGGCGTGGGGTTCCTTGCCTCACCTGCATCTACAGGGGCTCAGCTGTGGGATCATACCCAGACTGGCACAGCCCAGTCACAAAGCCGGAGCCCCACCCTGCAGGAATGGCCGCTCTTACAGGAAAGGGCATGGCCTGGGTGGCCCCGCAGGCCCTCTGGCTACTGAACCTCCCCCCACCTGCACCCCTTTGGCATTCTCACCCTGCGGGTGCACACGTGTCTCCTGGACACAGAGGCTGCCCTCTGGTTGGGTTGGGCACCTTGAGCTGAACCCCTCATCCGTGGACCAGGCAGCCCGGCATCGCCCACATGGAACCGCTGAAGTGATCGTGTGTTCTGGTCAATGCTTAGATAACAGTTTGAGACGCAGCTCCCCTTCCTGGCCCAGAACTGCTCTGGCCCCTGGGTTCACAGCTCCAAGTCTGATTCTGAGGAGGAGGCTTTGGCTCCTTTGGATTCACGCTCGGTTCTAGGATGGGCCCCTGACTGATGGCCTGCTCTGGGAGGCATCCCCCACCGCCGCCCAGACTCAGGACTGCTTTCCCCACTCTTCTCACCTGCTCCCTGGGCTACAAATCCCAGCCTCACAGTGGGAGGGGCCTGGGCAGGACCCGAAACAGTGTCCCAGTGTCTGCTGTTCCTGGGCAGATGGGGTTTGGGGGTCCTCCAGGGTTCAAGCCTTGGCTCTAGGCCTTGGCTGGGTCTTGTAATGGACCCGCGACCCTCAATTTCCTCACTCACTGGGGCTTCGAAGGCCTCTGGTACCCCGAGGGTCCTTCATGAGGATGACATGAATTTCGGGGGTCCTATCCTGGGATGGCCAGCAGGTGGCAGCGTCGGCCCGTCTGCTCTCCACCGGGCTCCCCTGTAGAGTTACACGGGATTAGGTGGGGAGTTTTGCCCCAAAGGCAATCGAATCTAGATCAGAACCACCCACCAAGTGGAGCGACCATCTGCCTGAAACCGAAACCGTGGAGGGAAGGAAGTGCCTGGAGGGGTCTCAGGGAGGTGGGGCGGGAGTCAGGTCTCCATGTCCTGGCTGACCAGGCAACCAGGGAGCTCTGGCGGGTTCCAGGTTCTGGGGTGGGGCATGGGGGGTCCTGCCAGGGGAGGGGGCGTTTGCCGCTTGGTGCCCTTGTCTCCCTGTGGCAGCCCCCTCTTGAGCTCTCGGGACTTTTCACAAACCCTGTCCCTCTCTGCTTTGGGGATTGAGGGCAGGAAGGCAGAGGCTGTTGACTGGATTTTTTTTTTTTTTTGAGATGGAGTCTTGCTCTGTCACCCAGGCTGGAGTGCAGTGGCGCGATCTCGGCTCACTGCAAGCTCCGCCTCTGGAGTTCATGCCATTCTCGTGCCTTAGTCTCCCGAGTAGCAGAGACTACAGGCATCCACCACTACGCCTGCCTAATTTTTTGTATTTTTGGTAGAAATGGGGTTTCATCGTGTTAGCCAGGAGGGTCTCGATCTCCTGACCTTGTGATCTGCCTGCCTCAGCCTCCCAAAGTGCTGGGATAACAGGCGTGAGCCACTGCGCCCGGCCAACGCTGTGGATTTTAGGGAGAGCAACCACAGGCATTGGGCAGAAGTGGCCAACAGGGCCTAGCCCCGGTCTTGGGTTTCTTGACAGCCACGTGCCAGGCCCCAGCAGGGTATCACCACAGCCTTTAAACCGAGCGTTATTCCTATTGGTGGTGCTTTCTATCCTTCTAGAGGAGCCTGTTCTTGAATTGATAAGCCCCGACATACCTCACCATCTCTTGCCACTCAGCCTATATACCGCCCAGCTTCGAAACCAGGCTACTGAGGACACTGCACAGGAGTGCTTCCTGGCTGGCCTCTGACCGCAGCCCGCTGTGCCCTCCGCCAGCCCTGCCGTTTACAGGGGGCTCTCACACCCATTCCATCTGAGCTCCCCTGGGCTTCCATCTTCTGGTGTGTGGAATGGGACTGGGTAATAATCAACTGGTGTTTATTAAGAGCCGACTTCACTCTTGCCCAGTGCACACATCGTCTGGTGTCTGGTCACGGTGCAGGTCTGGGTGGATGGGCCTGGGCCGAGGTCCAGTTCTGTGTTTCCAGCAAGCTCCCAGACCAAGCTTGCGCCAGAGCAGGGCTCTCAGCGTTGCCCGTCACACTCACCCACTTCTGCCCAGCAGCCGCAGGTGTGTCGTCCCATCCGACATCCTTCCTCTGGAGGCCCTGTGCTGCTCCACTGAACCCAGTTCCAGTGCTCTGGGGAGCTCGGAGGCTGGGGAGGAGAGGGAGCTCGGGGCGCAGCCCCACCGTTTGTATCCCCATTTCCTCCCCAACACCCAGTGTGGTGGGCAGCCCAGCAGGTGATCTGGTGCATCAGCAGGTGCTGCCCCCTGTGCCCTCTGTGGTGGGGTGTGGGCTGCACCAGAACGGGGGACTGCTGTGCCTGGGATGCTGCCTGGCACCCAGCAGCCACTCAGGACCCGGAGGAGGGCAGGGTGGGCCCAGGAGCTGGACGCAGCAGGTCGGGTTCCCTGGGTGGGCAGGTGCCTGGAGCGCAGAGCAGGGGTGGGCACTGGTGCCGCTTGAGGGGAGTGCCTCCTGCTCAGGGTGGCAGTTCTGGCTTCAGGGGTGTGGCCTTGTCCCCTCCCTTCTCTTTAGCTATAAATCGGTTTGGGGATTGAGGAAGGGCCACCCACATACTGGCCCTGAGTACAGGTACAGGACCGTTAGGGTGCGGCCCTCGGGAAGCCCCTCTCAGCGCCAGCCACAAACCAGGAGAACAGGTTCGTCCTCCTGGCTGGAGGCCCTGGAGCCGCACTCCACCCGGCTGTGGCAGACCCAGGCCCTGGAGGTACCTGCAGAGTGTGAGCTGAGGAGGGTGGGCGTCGGGCAGCACTGGGCCCAGGGAGGGGAAGTGAGCCCTGGGTGGGCACAGTCAGGCAGAGGCCCCGGAGCCAAGATAGGGAGGGCAGGGCCCAGCAGGCAGAGGCAGGAAATGCTGGTGGATGAAGGCCTCCTGGAGCCTCCGCAGGAAACAGTGCCTGGGCCGGGGTTTAGCAGGTGAGGTTAGGATGGGGCCAGAGTGCAGAGAGTTGGTCTGGGCATGGGCTGGCCTGGGAAGTGATGTTGGGCGATTTTGGGGCTCGGGTAGGTGGTCGGGGGCTCTCCCTGTGTCCCTGTGCTGTCCGGGGACCAGCAGGAACGAATTCCTGGCAGAACTGTGGGTCTGACAGAGCAGAGCCAGCCTGGGGGGGCCCTGGGGCTCTGGAGCCTTAGAACTTTGAGGGAGCTGGGACAGGAAATGAGAAATGGGGCAGTGTCTGTGGAGAGAGGGGCATGAGCCTGTGGCAGAGCTGAGAAACTGATGGCCAGGGAGGCCATGCCTGGTCCAAGGCAGGCACAGGGTGAATCCCAGGTCAGTCTGCCCACACCTGTGTCCCAGTCTACCTGTCGCTGGGCTTGGGGAGGGATGCTGGGCACCGTGACCTTGCTGACAGGAAATGAAGGGTCCTGGTGTGCAGCTGTCATCTGGGCTGAACTGGCTGATAGCTGGGGGCTGGAAACCAAGGGCCCCCAAAAGAGGAGGTCTGGGAAGACTTCCTGGAGGAAGAGACTTTGCACTGGTAAGAGTGAGGGAGGGCTGTGTCCATGTGAGAGGCATGGCCTTTTCCGGCATGTGGAGGCTGGGGGTGTTGGGTTGGGGGGCGCTAAGGGTGGGCCCTGGCCAGCCTCCCAGCCTCCTCCGTGAGGCTGGAGGGAGGGGGGCTGGTGAATCTGGGACCACACAGGGTTGGGTGTCCAGGAGAGTGAGCCCAGGACCTATGGGCCTAGGCAAGGCCAGAGAGGACCCACGAGGGAGGCCCAAGCCGGAGTGGCGTCCACTCTGGATGCGGGCATCTGGATGGGCCGTGGAGAGT